AAAAATCGAAAATTTCAGTGGTCTATAAATAACTCAAAAAAAGTCGAAAATTAAACTGTATATAGATATTACTAACATTAACATTTGGTGAAAATTTCAAATATTTACAGTGATTAGTTTTTGAATTACAACCATAAAAAAATATCGATTTTTTCGAAAATTCCTGTTTTTCTGTCATTTTTTTTTTGTTTTTCTCGATTTTTTTGAAAACTGTTGGAAAATGTTTACTTTTTACCTCTATATTGCACCAAGGATATTCACTTTTACATCGGAAACCACCCCCAAAGTTTGAAATTGACACAAAAACAAACATAAAAAAAAAAAAAACATATCATTTTAAAATCAATACATTCATCACTTCGTTCAGAATCTAAAAATGAAGAAAACGGAAAATTTAAAATGTCTATAAATATTTTAAAAATATTTGAATATTTTATCAAGTATAGAAAATGGCAGTTTATACATTCAATGAAAATTTCATGTATCTACAGTAATTCGTTTTTAGAGTTACACTGATATCTCAGATTCTTAGATCGATATTCTCAAAATTGATTTTGCGTAAAAATTTCAAAATTTGACGTCACCAAAGCACCAACTAGATTCAGTTTCCAACTGGAAAAGATACTGAAGTAGAAAATTGAAGCATCATTTCGACAATTTATTGTGTACACAAAAAATAACAACATTGTAAAAGCAAAATATTTATCGCTCTGCTCAAAATCTAAAATAGCAATGATCTTTCTGTTCATATTTTAAAAATATAATTTAAGACTTATTAGCCATCCTACTGATTAGGTCAGTACTACTTCGCGACAGTTCATCGCGCGAAATATTAACGCCAACGTTTTATAGCTTGCTTATTAATCGCACTACCATGGTAGTAGTGCACTGTACCTACTACCTACGTCCCCTAGTAATACTACACATTAATATACTACAGGTAGTACGATCGATAAATTTTAGAAAAAGGTCATGGAAAAAAATTTTGTGCGTAAAGTTGAAGAATTTTTACTCTCCTATGAATAAAAATTGTTTGAAACTTTCAGTGCACTAATAATATATTATAATATTATAGTGTTATAATTTATAGTAAAAAACTATAAAACAAACAATAGTGTCCATTAATATCACAACACAGATTGCATGTCGAGAGAGTGTTTACACGGCGTTCGATGAGAAGAAGGAGGGAGGAGTTCCCGCAACAATGTAAAAGTATATTACTATGAAAAAAAAAGTAATAATATATCTTTGGGGAGTCTCAACATTTCGAACAACGCATAGAGTAATATTACTTTATAGTTTATGGTGCACCAGCAGTGCGCTACGACGAGCACACGCATTCCGTCGGCGATAATCAAAATATAATCAATACCCGTAATAATCGCGCATTAAATTTTGGTCTTGCGTCGTAGCGACGTGTCACGTCATCCGGACAAGGGCCGCCGTCACCGCCCAAGGGAAGCACACCGCCCGCCCGCCCATCAGCATCGCCAACAGCCGGAGGAAAATGAAGTCCGTAAGCGAGCGCATGCGCGTGTCCGTCGTCCTTGAAGCGCACGGCCCGATCGAACAGCTGACTCTACTCAGCCCGGTCAGCCGCCCGCCCGCCAGCCCGCTGGATAAGTTGTATTTATTATTACGACGCAGTAAGTTGGTTTTTTCTTTTATTTTTTTGTCGTTTTCCTTTTTCCCGTACCACTGACTCGTCACGCACCAGTCGAACGTAATATTATTAGACACAAATTTTTTTTCAATTCCTTACGAATTGTTTTTTTTTTTGTTTCCGAGTTCGCCTTTGAGAATCGAGTGTCACGTTTATACATTCCTGCGACGATCGTAAAGTGTCTATACCCAGTAGACGACATTATTCTGACACACAACCGTTGGGTGTGCTCAAACCCAATTCGTTGCACACGCACTGCGGTTTTTCTAGAAACCAGTCGGGAAAAGTAGACAATGTCGGACGGTGAAGGTTCGGCGCAGACGGTCGCATTGGAGACGGGCGGCCAGTCGGACARCATGACGGTGGCCACGGATGGCCAGCAGTTGCAGCAGCAGAACGTGTCYATCACCAAAGACGACGGCGAACCTAACCCGAAAAAGGCCAAACTTTCCAGTGGTGGTGGCGATGTGTTCGGCCGCGGCGGCGGTGGCGTCGACAAGCAGCACACTGCTTCAGAGAAACTGGAGCATAGGCTGGGAGGTATATTGTGTTGCGCCGTGTGCTTGGACTTGCCCAGGTCGTCTATCTATCAGGTGAGAATTGGCGATTTCGCACCCTTTGCGCGCCATCCTGACTCCCAACAGTCCCAACCACCCGACGGTCACKTGTTCTATTTTCTATATTTAAAAGCTCGTGTCCATCCACTCGTCTCGTTGTTGTTGTTATTATAACTATTATTATTATTATTATTATTATTATTATTATTATTATCATTATTATTATTATTGTTGTTATCGTCGTACCAGCTGACCGACTTGCCACTGCTGTGACTATACCTAGTATAGTCCCTGGGTCAACGACATTAAATTATGCGCGCGCGAATCACGTTTATTGGCTTTCCTCGCTCATTGTTATAATACAATGATTTAAAAAATATTATTATTTCTACATTTCGTCCATTTGTTTCCGCATTATTGCGTGTTACGATGACGACACTACTGTTATATTTTCGTGTTAGAGGGACGGACTTTTTTGCCATTTCCCAATCTAAATGAGACGTCCTTTTCGCKGCAGCAGCGTGTTTGTCAATGAATTCGCGTGAATTCCCAAAGTAATTAGCGGTCCAATGTCCACGGTACAAAGTCCGACACCACGCGATTGAYAAAAATCGTGTACAATTTTATAATTATGTATACAAATACATTTTCGGGCCGATGATAATCGTTGAACGTCGTTAGTCGGATGGGTCTTTCCGTTATCTGTCTTTCAAGTCGTGTGTACTTTTGGCTAAAGCCGGATTCCCACGACTGGTGTATTTGGCCAATATTTGGCACTGGTGGTTACTTGCCATGCCGTCGGATCGCCATACTTGTACAATTATTTGTCACTGGTGTCGTTCCCGGCGATTGTCGGTAAATGTGACACAAGTCAAAGGAACGGCCAATATACTTGTATTATTGATCTCACGACCGGTTCGTATAACAGCCAGCAATGGGAACAGATAACAGTGTACTTGGCTACTTGCACTAGTGCTCCGGTATTGGCGTACTTGTCAAGTACGCCAGACGTGTGAGCACCATATTCGTGCACTGGTCAAATGTACAATTATTGGCGTATTTGGCAAGTACACCAGTCGTGGGAATCCGGCTTAAGGCTAAAGGCTATAAGTTATAACACGCCAAACGGAGTTTTTCGCGGCTCATTACGTCATCTGTCGTGTATAGCTACTTCAATATAAAATAATGAGTTTTGACTTCAGCGGAAAACACCATGTATAGCCCCAGTCTTAGACGTGAATACGCTCGTGTTCGAAATTGGMTATTGCCCTGTTGGCAATTAATACAATTTAATAGTAATTATCCCAACAAAAATACAATTATTATATTATTATCATTTATATGGTTTAAGTGGTACAGCCGCATAACATTTGAATAATCATCAACGCTCACTATAAACGACTAAACATAATGTTCCCTTAGGACTGTGATTTTAAGGTACTTTGAAAATACCCAGGTAAAAAGTCACTTAAAAAAAAAAGTTGATATTTAATTTTGTGTTACGACGCTGACATGCTGGAAAAAAACAACGACTTTTTAAGACGAATTAGCTGATAAAAACAAAAATATATATATTTTTAGACCRCTATAATTTATTTTATTTTATTAGCGTATTGTATCAATATTGCAATAGGTACCTCGTGCAGTCGTGCCTACACTAAATTAATTATAATTTGTCCAGTAATTCTAGCATTCCGATGTGACATTTGTCGCTCGCTAATCTGTTTTTTTTTTTTTTTTTTATTACCATTCAACCATTATCACATGTCACCTACTAAATATTTTATAACATTTTTATTTATAAAGTTATTTTTAATGGATATTTTCCAAAACAAAACACCCCACATTAAAAAATGATGGTTATTTTCAATTTTGTTTATTTGGACGATTTTATCTTATATGACGATCTGTTATTTTGCATTAGGTAAAATACATTTTGGGTATTTTAATGGAAGCCCGYGAATTGGAGGGCATTTGAAGATTAACTAAAAATTTGAAAACACTCGATCTCGGAAACTCAAGGGTAGTAGCTGTGTACATCATCAAGTGCTTCCTTCTTTTTTTCTACTCGATTGGGGTTTAGAAATTTACAATGAAACATTACATATTTTGTACTTCGTGTTTTGTGCTTTAGTAGTCTCCAGTAGGTAAAAACAAATGATAAATTTATTAATTTAATGGTCCAATCATGGGCCACTAAATCATGTTTAGCCATTAGCTCACTATTGATTCGTTAGATGTTCATGCTTCCCGACATAACTATTTTACTGCTCCACATTTATTTTACTTAGAATTTGGTAAAGAAATTGTATAGAAACCTTAAGTATACTTGATCTATTTATGGACTATGGTACTATAAAATATGATTTAAGTGCAGTTTTTGATCATTTTAATTGACTAAAAATTCAAATTTATGCTTCCAGACTTATACTTTGTATTATAATATAATAATCTATGACGTGTGTTCTGTGTACAAACTTAATTATCATTGTTTACAGTGTACAAATGGGCATTTAATGTGCGCTGGATGCTTTGCTCATTTGTTGGCTGATGCACGCTTACGAGATGAAATGGCTACATGTCCCAATTGTCGTGTGGACATTGCAAAAAATACAGCCACACGTAACTTGGCTGTTGAGAAAGCAGTTAGTGAACTGCCATCAGAGTGTCAGTTTTGCGCCAAAGAATTCCCGCGTAATACATTACAACATCATGAACAACAGCTTTGTGCGGAAAGGTAAGCAGTTAAACATTTTATTTTTATCTGAACAATTGGTTGTGCTTATGTTAAATATTTATATTTTACTAACATTAATTTATTAGACCAGTAAAATGTGGATATAGTAAGATAGGCTGCCCTTGGCGTGGACCCAGCCATGAAGCATCTGAACACGAAAAAGTGTGCCCTCACCCATCAACTACAGGAAAAGATGTTATGTCTGCGCTTGATGCTATGGACCAAAAGTTTCAGGAAGAGAAATTGTTATATGACACCATATTTGACTTGATGAGTTTTGAAAAGATAACATTTAATGGTAAATCATAAAATATATAGTTTAGTACCTATATGCTTTAATGCAATAGTAATTAACTTAAGTTGACCTACTAAGATTTAAATTAAATCAATACCTAATTTGATGAAACCCATTGTTTAGATTTGCAATTAAAACCATACCGAACAGAAGAGTTTGTACACAAGTTGTATTATGAGACCGCCCGATTTTCAGCGTTCAATTTTCAGTGGGTTGTCAAAACCCGCATCAATAACATGCAAAGAGACCCAGCATTGAGTATTGATCGTCACATGTCATACCAGGTAATTTATGTACAACATTTGTAGGAAAAAAATGTATTAATTTTTAAATTTTTGTATTGTATTCACTATACTATTTTTAAAATAATATAATTTGAAAAACATTGTTTCGTAGAAAAAACAGGTAAGTTCTATTTAATATAAGAAAAAAACAATAATTAACCCATAATATACACAAATGCGTAAACACAACCACAAGTATCCATGTACCGTGTTGTCAGTCCTTTCAGTGTTAGGTTACAACAAAAATATGGATGTCATTAGTCATCACTGTAACGTTTAAGGACGACACGTTTTCAACTATAGTCAATGTGACAACGATAATCCATTTATAATTATGAAACAGGAGACAAGATATTTTTTTGTTATATTAATAAACGTTCACAGTTTTCAAGATCACACTACTACTACTACTACTTCTAGTACTAGTACTACTACTACTACAACTGCATCATCTTCATGGTATGGACACTCAAATCAATCTATCGCTGAATCGGCACATGCACGACAAAATTCATATTGCCATCTATAAAATGTGTTTCTTTTTTTGTTTTTGCCCGTTTCTCTACGTCTGCCACGTCTAGACACATTTTACCTAACACCATCGAAGAGATAACAACGGCTGAAACATCAATTAAAGACGCCCGATATGGATCAGATCGCAGGATTTTTTTATATAAACAGTTTTTGTTTTTTACGACATTCTCAAAGTAAAACTTTACGGATTCTTGTTAACTATTCTTGCTAGGTTAATATAAACATATTTATTAAAAACTTGTAATTGTATTTTTTTCTTAAATTCATTTTTTATTTGTATAAAGGGTAAGCTTTGGTAAGTCATTAGTCAGAAATATACTAAATTGCTTTTTTTCTTGTCCTGGTAAGTTATGCTAACATTTGGAAGCACTGTGTATAATAATTTGGGTTGAGTTTTGTTTTTCAGGTGCATTCGGACTAATATACTTTTTAACGAATTTACTTAATGATCATATTTTACTGCTAATATTTCAGGGTAATTTTTGCAGGTTATTTGTTGTACTATCAGAAAATACTAATTGATTTTTTTTTTTTTTTATTCATTCCTCTGTTTCCTTTACGCGCCCTCAATTATGTCGTCGTCACGCTGATCATCTGTAAATAGCTGATTCTGAAAACCAAAATTCCCACACCTATGTCTGTCCATTATCTAGTAGTTAAAGGACCATTTGGTGATATGAAGGTGAATCCGAAAATATATAAGTTTGAATTCAACGAGAATGAAACAGAAACACAATTTGTAACATTGCCATTACCAGACTCAGCCGAATGTAATAGGCTGTTAGCAGCCAAAACTATAAATTTGAGGTATTAAACAAAAAAATAATAAACCTTTAGGTAATAAGAATTATTAAAATAGATATTGTTTCTTAATATAACATTTTAAAATTTATACTAATTGAATGCATTCATTTTAAATTAATGAAAAAAATTTTAACTCTAGTATAAAATGTATAGATTTGAAAATGTTAAATTTGAATTAGATRTGTTATTTATCAAAATTTGTTCTACAACATATTTTAACATGCTTAAACAATTTTAATGAACTAGATATCAAATTTATAAGTATAGAAAATTAGTTAGTAAAAATAAATTTAAATTATTAGATAGAATGTTTATATAAGATGTTTCATTTTTAAAATGATCCTTAAACATGTTCCGCTCATTTTYGTTAAAATTATGCATATACAAGTTCTTAGATTTTTCATTTAAAGAGTGTCATCACATTAAGAACAYTTTTTTGTACTAATTGTGAATCAAGTAGATTTTCTGAAAATGTTGACGTTTTGTAATTGAAATTGGAACAAAAAGTTTCTGAGTTATTAACTTAAAATACTAAGGATAATAGTCCATTAAAAGATATTATTCACTTTAATTTTGTTAGTTATAAGACAATATAAAAACATAGAGTATACACCTTGATTAAGGGCCATTCTTACAATGCTCGGTTAGTGCCTGATAACACTAACCGGAAGAATTTATCATGAGTTAACCGATAGAATTCTACCGGTTAGTCTTAACCGACACTTAACCGGAGATTGTAAGAACGGGTCTAAGTTGTAGTTACTGTATAATATTTAATGTTGCTCACTTATAATTACTGAGCTCATATCCATTTACAAAGTATTTAACAGACTATTATCCTTAATGTTTCAAGTATATTAACTCTCAAACTTCAATTTYAAAAATATCAACAATTTCAGAAAAGCATCTGATTTGCAATTTGCATTATACCTATAATTTAATTTACCCTATAGGTATCGCTAAATGATACTCATTAAGATAACATAAACATAMATTTTGCTTATCTATCAAAAATTATGTAATGATTTGTTTATTGTTTTTTAGGTTGATCATGTTTTTGGTGTCGAAATAATCACAAAATCAATATAAATATTAATTATTTAATACATATTTTAATCATCAAAAAGCTGTTTCCACTTATATTATTGAAATGGTTATTTTTGTTTTTTCATTATTATTTACCTAGGCGTATATAGATATAATAGTTTTTTAATTAACAAAGCATATTAAGCTAATTTTTAAAAGTTTTATAGTTTATTTTTATCTTATTATTTTATTTTATGTTATTGTTGACGTCATTCCTTCATGGTTTCACCTTGCCCTACAGCACGTTTATCTTTCCTTATTGTATTGTATTTTAATATTTTATTGGACATAAATAAAGTAACACATCAAAGTTATTATATTTATTGAGTTTTCTGTTYACTGTATTTATATTATACTAAACATGTTTAATATTTAACTTTAAATAATTGTAGTATAAAACCACATATATTTAGTAAAAAAGAATATGAGAGGGATAAGTAATTTGACCATTTTAATAATTAAATACTAATAAAACAACGGTGATAATTTATATTTATAAAAATGATTTATTATAAATATTTTATGGTAAAAAAAGAAAAGAATTAAAACAATAGTAAGTAACAAATCAATTATAAAATACCATTAATAATAATAAATAAATAAAAGATATAAAAATGTTCAACAATACTATTTCTTACAATAATGATCCAAAAAAAATCCCTACCCTTAACACTATGCTATAAACTTTATCTTTAATTAATTCCATAAACTCCCAACACCTTACAATTTAGATTCAGTGTTTAAAACTTTTAGTTTTTGAGCTAACATGATGTTTCCTTTGATTTTCAGTTTACCTTTCATAAATGCCATCTGAGGATTTAGCTTTCCAAGAGCCTGAATAAAATTTTTTATAATATTATAAATTTATATTAAAAATATAATTTTTGGATACTTACCAAATCAATCATGTCTGAATCATCAATAGTCAATGTTGTATCTGCTTTAATGCCTTTTTCAGGTTCTCCCCGATAAATTTTACCAGTCTTCAGATCTGCAGCTAATTATTAATTTTATTATTTTAATATTGAAACAAGTATCTTTTACTTTAATGTAATTCTAATAAAACTATACTTACTCCATGTACTAGTTACTTTACCACTTTTTGTGATATGATAAACGAAGACTCCATTAATAGATTTTAATAAGCTTGGATTAGATTCTATACGTTCTTTCATACCGTGGAATACTGCATCGCTAGGCARTTCTTCAACTTTTGCAGTGCATAAAACCACATGGGGCTTGGCTGGCAATTTAACTTCGTGTAATTCCATGTAAGCGCCTAAAATATACCAATCATCATTTAAAATAAAAAWTTTTTAAAAATAAATATTCACAAACTATCATTGATTTATACTCATCAATTTTAAGTGTTGACCTTGAAAAACTATGTTTTTTTATATACATTTGTATATTTAATACGAAACAAGAAACTCACCGAGTAAAAATAAAATCTACAAATAATATAACACCAAATACAGTGAAAAATAATAAAAATATTACAATGGAAAATATAAGATAAGCTTGATAAAACATAATTTTGAATTTAACTTTTTATTTGAACAATGATAATTTTTAAAAACTCTAGTCATTCTGTTTTTAACTATATGAAAATATTAATTGTACAGGTCAATATGTTAAGTAACTGTATAGGTTAATATGTTAAGTAATTTAATTGATGGCATAAATAAAATTTAAACTACTATACATATAGTTTTAAATTATCAAAGGTAACTGTCAAGGCCAAATAAATATAATCTAGATGGCTAGACATAAATACAATAAATATTAAGGTATAAAATAAATATGAGAAATATGAGAACAAATAATTGCATTACCTTAAATAAAAAAGTACCTGATAGAACTGTGTCGTTTGTCTCTGATACGGTGGTTTTGAAGTGAATGCGGTTCCCTTCTCTCCACATTGATGTGCACAATGTTTGGCCTGGTACAACTGGTTTACTGAATCTCACCTAGAGGTCAAAGAAGTTAATTAGTGAGTTGTTTGTTCCCATTTCATTTTTCCCCACATTCATTTTTTAGAATTAATATTTCATAGTATAGTTCAATGATATTAGACTTATGATTTCTATATTTTAAGTTATTTGGAATTTTATATAAAATGCTGATATTGTARTTTTTTATAGTCAAATTATTAACATGTAGCAATATTGTTGATAATATATGACATAATAACTAATTATAATTTCAAATTAAAATTAAAATTATGTCTTCTGTTATGAATAAATAAATGAACATATTTTATCTAGTAAAAATGTAACAAAAGATAAATCCTAAATATATAATTATTAGGTTTAATTATTTGATGTGTAACCATTGAAGTTCATGTAAATGTAATTTAATGAAATCAACAATTTCATTATAAATTATTAAACGAATACCTTAAGTGATTTGAATAATTTTGAATCATTATCAGCATATTGTTTGAGTATATGTCTTGTTGAAATACCTAGAGTTGCTAAACCATGAAGTATTGGTACTTGATAACCAGCAGCAAGTGCAAATGAAGGATCTATGTGTAAAGGATTTAGATCACCGGATAATCTATAAACAGCTGCCTAAAAACAACATATTTAATATAGTACAATTTTAAATAATTTTAAATTTAAAACAAAAATAAATTAATAATCTAACCTAATTGCATAAATAAAAATTATTACTTGATTAACAGACGTTTTTTCTATAACTGTAGAATCTGGAGAACGTTTAGGTTCATCGAGTATTGGAATCATAACACTTGAAACTCGTTTTCCTCCAAATCCTCCAGCTGACACAACAAAAGTACATATTTGTGATGTGACAATCAAATCACCAGATTCATCATACGTTTTACCTAAAAAAATTTAACAAGAAAATTATCAAGAACTATATAACCTAAAGATTAAAGAATTTATAAAATACAAAGCTTTTAATAGTTGTTCATAACAATTTATCAAGAATGATTGAAATTAAAAAATAAAACATTTACCATCAACAACAATAATTGCATTTTTTCCTTTATCCAAAACATCAGAAACACAAATTTTAGTTACAAGTTTTGCTTCAGTTGGAAAAGGCCTGTGTAGTTCTAAATATTGCTCACCATGCAAAACCTATAAAATATAAGATAATATTTTTAATAATAGATACAAATTTTGAGTATAAATCAATACAAATTTACTACAAAAATATTTTATTAGCACTAATTAGCAACGTAAAATTTTAACAAAAATGTTACATTCAATAACTTTGTTAGCTTTATGGCTAAATGTATTTGTGATATTTAGGTACATAGTTAGATTCAGTATTGTAGCGAGATGATGACTAACTTCAGTTTCTTGTTTTAATTAAGAGTTTGATGGCTGTAAAAATATATGAAACAATTATGTACAACATGCAAATGCAAGCTTGGAAGATATAATTGATTTTTTTTTTTAATTTTATATGTTTCAAATAAATTTAAAGTATTTTACAAGTAATCACTTGGGATTACTATAGTTGGTTATTATGTGTTAGAAAATTAAATTATTCTTACATTTAGAAAACTTAATTTAATTTAAACTGCAAGAAAAATTAAGAAAACTAGTTATAGTTATTTTAATTTTTACCAGAAAAAARGAAATAAATTTTACCATATAATGCCATTTTTTATTTGTTTTATGAAACTATTTTACAAAAAAGTTTTATTTTTGTGTAGTATAGACTTCAATAWTTTTTTTTCCTCTATGTTACAAAAACAAATTAAAATTAAATTTGYCTTCTTGTTTGTTAAAAATATGGTATCTTAACTAGGATTGCTGCTAATATTACCCAAGATTTCTGTTCTCTTAATATAGATTAAGTACAATATATGATGAAAGACTATTTTTATTAAATATTATTGGCTACCTAGATTTAATTCTCTCTTATTTTAGAGATTAAATCCGATAAAAATTAAAGCTAAATAATGTATTAAATGATTCATACATAAGTTTTATAATATACCACAAACAAATCATGCAAATGACTTTTACCTGAGATAAATCAAACTCTCTACCAGGTATTGCCTCAGTTATCAAACTACTACTCATAGTAGCCATCAGACTGGGTAAAACTGCATAAGTAGGTATTGTAGAGAAATGTTCATGAGATTCATATAAGTATTGTAAATCACTTTCTTCTTTTACGTTTGCTCCAACTAAGAATAAAATATTATTTTTATTAAATCATACATTTAGAAAAAATTAATATTTAAAATTTACCTCCAATAGCATATATAATGGAATCTCTGTAATTGTAGCTGAACACACTACTAGCTTCATTTAAAGGTTCTTTTGGACCTGACTTGATTTCATCTAAAACTCCTAATAAAGTTGAAGACGCTTCCTACASTCAAAAATTGTATTTGTGAACAGTATAGATAGGTATGAAAAATATTAGTTCTTATATGTTATCTTGACCATCACCAGTTGCCCATTATCTCACTTACATCGTAATTTCTATCAACTACACTATGAAACATTCAATATTCAACCTTYACGGGAAATAAGTTTAATAATTGGTTAACTGACATTCAAAATTTTTTTTATTATTTAGTATTAACTCTTAATTAAAATTWTGAATTTAATAAATTTACCATCAAAAAACTACCTTGTTACGCTGTAGCTATTATATTTTTWWAAAAAATACGACATTAAAACAAATCTTTTGGAAATGTAATGTAAATACTGGTTAACATAAAAGTTAACAATACGAGTATATTGGTAATAAGTTAGTCAAGATAACAGAATCAGTATAGCAACATCATATGATTGAGATAATGRAATTTAGACTGTCTGTAGTTAAAATAATGGATAAGTACCAAAATATTAATTTAATTACTTCAATAGAATCTAGTCTAGTTGCTTGTGACATATCAGTCAACTGAATCCAAACATCACGGACATTTTCTGGAGTCACTGTTTCTGTAATCTTGTGTCTAAGTAAAGCACCCGCTCCCCTCACCAAATGACCTGCAATTGTATTTTACCCAGCAAGTTAGGCTTTTTCATAGGCTAAAGAATTTAGCAATAACATTGTTTTAAGT